ATCTCTACCAAAAACTAATCAGCACGATTCACAACCAATATCTTTCGAACGGTTTTTGAATTTTCATATCGATTCAGAATTGCGGGGTAAAACGTGGACAAAAAATCTTTAACGTTTTTGCTATTTATTAAAAAAACGTCTCGGCCGATCGTCGCACAAATCAAATTTAAATTTTTGAAATCGGTCGAGCCATTTTCGAGAAAACGTCGATTTACGGCAAAAAATCTGTTCACATACACATACACACACACATTCTTTTTCCAAATTTGGTCTCATTCGATTCAGAAAGGCTTAAAACGTCGAGAAAACATAAAATTACTGAATCGGATTTTTTGATGAAAACATAAACTTTTCCTTCGGGAAGTTATTTATAAATGACATCGGTATTATATATAAAAAATAATTTATATAGATATTTAATTTAAATAATTCAGAAAATAATCAAAGAAATCTTGTTAATAATCTATAGGATAAGATAATAACTATTTTTTCTATTTACGTTTTCTACAAAATATTTACATATTTTTTTAAGTTAACGTACATGTGGGTCAGTTAATTAATTTATATTATTAGTAGAAATAATATTTCTTATTGTAAGTTAATTCCTTAAACCTGTGATTCTGGTGTTCCAGAAAAGTTCAGACTTCTTTATGGGCTTTAAGCATGAAACTACCTTTCATATTTGCATATGTTATAATGTGACTATTATATACGTGCGAATATATACATATATGGAATGAAAAACGATAAAATATATATCAAGCATACGAAAAATTATTTAAAAAATATCCTTCTGTGATATTACTATTTGACAATTAAATTTACCGGCGTTTAATTGAACAAATTGATATTTAAATTATTAATATGATTTGTAATACATATTAGAAAAAATATTTCTAAATAATTTAATATATTAGTATAAAATAAATAATAAAACAAATTGGTTTATATGTCATATTTGGTAAGAGAAAAAATTATCATTTTGTTGCTTTTCACTCGACATTATCGATAACATCTCCATAACAAATGCACTGTTACAGAAATTGTAATAATAAAATTTTACATAAAGATGGGACAACTCTTTGGGTTGTCATCTATGAAACCGACGAAGTTAGTTAAGTCAAATCATCAATAGGACCCAGAAGTTCTGATCGCTGTTCAAATAATATGAATAATAGAAAAAACTCTTAAGACAATTGGATTCTTCTACTACTCATGCTAATATTGAAACTCTCGTGTTTACCATAAGAGTTAGCAATAATAGAAAACAGATGTTCATTGACATTTTCCTCGTTTCAGTTGATGACAATCCGTTGCGGGCAATTTTTACGCCAGACAAATATAACGGATGAGAGGCGCACAGGAATAATTTAAACACCATTACGGTTAGCGACAGTTTATATAAACAATGGCGAATTTTAGCTCAATGCGCGTATTTGCGATTTTCTGAACTGAAACATTATAATTATTGCAATTATAATGACAACGAGCATGACAGGTGAACGACGAACAAAAAACGAAATGTTTGCGTATAGATCATGTTTGAGAAACGCACTGGTTAAAGACATTTTCAATTCAGATTCATTTATGAAAGTTTACCAAGATGCGAAAAAACAAAAATAACATGTTCTATAAGGTCGTATACAAATATAAAAAATATGAGGATTAGCAATAGATTAAAGGATATAACGTTTTTCTAAAAGACAATTATCAGAATGTTATATAACATTTGTCAAATATTTCATTAACAAATAAATAAATAAAAATATAAATATATATATGTTAGGGTATTATATGGATATTATCGAATTTCTTTGCTCCCAGGGGTTCAAATGCTTCCAAATTGACAGAAAAAAATATTTGAAAATTTTAGCTCTTAATTAACTCTAACATAGTCCGCAATCCAGCCAAAATTTCTTGGTTCTTCTTTCTAAGTAAATAGAAATTTTATAAACCATATCAAATTTTGGTTGTAATTTTTTTTATTTATGATCAAAATAAGCAAAAACAATGTTATTCTCAAAATTTTAAATCACTTGTCGCTGAGTTATAAAATTCTAAAAAACAAATGGAATTTTACCCATGTTATTGCCATAAGAATTTTGGTTCAAGTGCAGACTATCTTAAAGTTAATATTAAGAGCTAAAACTTTCAGACAATTTTTTTTTATCAATTTGAGCACCTGGAAGCAAAAAAATTCTCATATACAAGAAATTTATTCATAAATAAATTAGTTTTGTTATAAAAACTTGCATTCATTGAAAAAAACTAAATCTAATCCTAAAAAAGAAATCCTCTTATATACTAGATATATTTTCCACAATGATGATTTGTACAAATATACACTATACGATTTTACTATTTGATGATATATTTTACTAAATATATATTCTATATATTCCAAGTTTCGAATAATAATATAGTTTTTTACGAGAATAAGAAAAAAAAGTTTATTATATTCAGGTACGATTATTTTTATTTAAGTTTTTTTTTAAGTGGTGAAAATCAAAAAAGGTCTACACACTTTTTTTTTATATTTGCACCTATTTCATCATGAAACATCAGAAAATTTTTGAAGTAGTACTTAAAATGTCTAAATTATCTACACGAAAATAATTGAAAATATTGGATAACATATTTTTTTATAAATAAAAATATTTCACAAGCCATCAAGTCAATTAATTTAATAAAAATGTGTATCATTATTAATTGTACGACGCAATTAAAATATTTCATGTAGAAAAACTTGTTTATTTATCATTGAGCGATATTCTTATTTTTATTTTATCATTCTAAAAAAAAAATTTCCTGTTTGCTTTTTTAAAAAATGGTATTTAATTCATGATAATTTATCCTAATTCATATTAATTTTCACATACGTATTATAATTAAATACTTTGTATGAGTGGTTTAAAATTAGTTCTATAACATTCATCATAAAAGTTTTCTATGAAGAATCATAAAAATAATATGCATAAGTTAAGATTTTGTTTAAGAAAAAAAATTATATATAATGTTAAATTTGATCAAACATAATTTCATTTGAGAATCAGGGAAAATAAAAGTAATGTAGTTTAATAAAAGTAATGAGTTTTATACTTTAAAAATATGAAATCACTTTCAGAAATATAAAGGATAATGTCATTATTACAATTATTTAAAAAATCTTACTTTCTTTCCTTTAACGCATTATATTTAAAACAATTTAGTTTTGCTTTAACTCGCTGTTAATAATAATGCATTTTCCCGAGCATTATTTTTACCGTAGTATGTAGGTATGGAAAATTTTGAAATACCATTAATTATGAAATGTTCATCATACGGCAATTATACATCGTAAATGAAACAATATTATTGTTATGAATTAATGTAGTGCATTTTTAATGCTGCTTATTATGATATTATAAACTAAAAATAGTAATTTATTCATAGTAGAAACTAATATTTATCAAAACATTATATTATACAAAATCATCATTTGTACCAAAACCGAAGTGCATTGCATGCATGCAATGCGTATTAATCTGATAACTGTTTTAATTCATTTTTGAATAGATGTAAATATCAAAATATTTGTTTTATTTTATGTTTATGTGTTTTGAGAATATTATATTGAGATACATAGGCCTATTAAACTCTAAACATTCTAACAAGCTAACAAGAAAGTTGTTAGATCATATTCTCATGAATATGATGTAAAATATTTACTAACAATAAGTCTACCAATAAGTGAAATATTATGTTTTTTTTTACTTTGTACTATCATAACTATAAAGATCCGCATCAGAAGATGTAGTTTTTAGATTTATTTTTTGTATGTTATGAACAATTTATTCATTTTCTTATAATTATATAGATGATCAATCAAAAAACAAAATATTTATTACCTCCAGTAGGATATAAGTTATAAAATCGCGAAAAAATCGAAAATCGAAATTTTTGCATATCTTTAGGTTTCAAAGATTTCTGAACATTTTGGCAAAGGCAAAGTTTGATTATCAAACAAAAAATGAATGAATGTGTGAGTGTGAGCGGATACAAATTTTCGTTGACTATTTCTGGATTGATCCGTGCTGACTAGTTTTTGCCAAAGGCAGGTCTACCCAAAGGCCAAAGGCCAAAAACGGTAATTTAGTTTTTGAAAACGGAGCGTCTGATTTGATTGATTCAAAAAACATTTTATTTGTGTCGACGAAATGAAGAATTGATTTAATTTTCGGCAGAAGATCCGGTAAAAAAGTTAAAAAATGTCTTTTTCCAGATAAAAATGGTCATTAGACGTAAGCACATCAAATTATCAGAGATTCTATAAAAGTTCTAATTATTTATTTATTTATTTATTTATTTATACGCCAATCGGCTTTATACAGTAATATGATATCGTTTGCTCATTCATAACTTGTATATTAAGTATAAATTTTTCTTACATTCCTTCAGGTTCCGTACTAAGGATCAGCCGTTTGACACGGCGCTTACGCGCTTCGATATTTTGTCTCTAAAATAGCTACGTAGCACGATTGCTTTAAAAAAATGGTTTCAAAAAAATTCACTATACAAAAAAAATCAAATTTATTGCCACTTTTTTTCAAAATTTCAAAACTTAAAAAAAAGAGTTTTTTCTAAGTTTTCAAACATTTTTAAAGCATTTTTTAAAATTTTAACTTTTGGTAAGGGAAGTTTCAGCAATTTAAGTTACGATGCCATGCACTACTAGTTTAGTTTTAATTAATTACGAATTGCCTACATTATTAGGTAAATCGTAATTGGAAAAAATAATGTTTATATGGTGTTATGTGAATTTAAAAATCAAATAATGTTGTTATTTTATTGAAAAAAAAATGGAAACTTGAAACATTGAGAATTTTAACTTATTCAATTTATGCAGCAGTAAAAACAACTAAAAGTTAGTAATTAATATATAAACAAAGATTTTAATATAACTGATTGTTCAATTATATGTATTTAAAATAATAATTCTTCCTTAAATTTAAGGAACTTACCGCAAATAGTAAGTTGAACACAAATAGTATGTATTTAATCAGACTCATTCCACAGTTTTCCATTTTGGCGGTTTTTTATTCAAATTTGTCTTTGAAACACTTGTGCGATAACACTTCTAATCTAATCGAATCCAATAACAATCAAGAAACGCGAGAAAAAAGATGAGTAACTATTACCCTCACAACTATTTAGTGGTTCGAAAACCAACAAATGACTTGAAAATTGAAAATTTCCGACAAAAGTAAAGTGTCGTCGTAGTCTCGCGTGAAACGACTGCAATCGTTTGAGTCTTCGCAGGTATTGCGCTGTTTCCGTCCGTTCATGGAGAGTCGGTACGTTTGGAAGGAAAGCGCGAAGGAAAACACTGTGCGTGGTGGGGAACGTGTGCGTGGGCTTGTTGCTCATCGAGCTCGGGCTCAGGCTCAGGCGCCAACACCGACAGCCTTGCATCAAATTCATTTTCTAAAACGATGATAATAACAATGTTGCCGATCGCCTGTCGACGAACTATTATTTGTACGTATGATTACTCGACAAGAATTATATTAAATTCGATAAGAATGTTTTTGGTGTAATGGCAATTTGTGCGGGCTTGGTGATCGTATAGTTTCGCTTATTGCATGTGCATTGACAGTTTATTTGATTTTGTTTTTTTATACTTAATATCGTAGATTTTTTTAAAATTCTTTTCTTGGCCTTTGCAATAGCATTTAGCCACATACATTATTTTTTATTTTTTGTATCTGTTTCTATTCAATGTTATATATTATCTTAATTTTAACTGACTCATTATTTTATATAAGGTAGGACGGAGCACAAAATTCCAATTTGACTTTGAGTAAATAACACATATTAAATAAACAACTATTTGACTATGTTTAGTAACACACTTTTAATTCATCATTGTAGCAATATGTTTTTTTGTTGTTTTTTTTTTAAAATCACATGGTCGTTTTCACCCCATAGGTAGGGTAAAATGAACAGCAAACACGGCCAATGTCTAATTTTTTTAACGGATTTTACGAAATAATAGCTACATTGTATAACGATTGCAAAATATAAATATGATACAAATAACTATTTTATTTGTACAGTTTTTACAGATATAACACTGTATACAACCTTGATCTGGTACTATACTAGAAATATTTATCAGCAGTAAAATTGTCTATTTCAATTTAATTAACTTTCTTATTTAATAGTTTTTATTGTTTACACCTTTGTCAGCTGTCCTTCTTACTCTCCACCACGCATAAGCCTTTACATAGGTTATATATAAAAAAACTACTAAACCTAACTTAAAATTAACAATACATCTTATAAAACAAATAAATAACGTATACTTGATAATTATTCTAAACAAAAGTGCTCACGGCCAAAAAACTAACATCGAAATAAAATATTTTTGTTATAGATTTTCAGGCATTGCTCTCGATATCCCGATTGTCTCATGATAAGAATCAAAGTGATGGCTGGTTATATATTTTTTACCTCTACTTTCCAATAGTGTTGTTAAAAAAATCTTAACTTTACTTGATATCGGTGGTGGACCCTTTTACCCGCGGACCTTTGAATCCCGCTCTACCCTACTTTCTTCATACATATACATATAGGGGAAGTCCCGAAACGCCGGACAGCACCTAATACCGGACAATGTATTTAACACGTATTATTTAAGCGAGTATAAATCTTTTTATATCAAAATACAAGTGAAAGGGGTGCGGAGTGCACACAAGTGCAGGATCACGCGCCAAGACTCACCTGTGGCGCACACGGCCACGGCGGGAGCAACCCTTTGCTATTTTAGGCGCAAAATCACGGCGTCATCTAAATATTAATGGAAGTAATTCTAGTGTATTTATGCATTTATATTTGAGTGGCATTCAATGATAAAAGTAGTACTTCATTGTTATCTGTGAAATGGTAGAATATTATTAGATATTTTAAACAATTTTAGTAGATACCACCAAATGAACGAACGTGCCTGTCCCTTAGCACCGGACACTTAGTCGTCCCTTTGCGCCGGACATTAACATATTGATATTTCTTGTGAGAATTGACGTACTTTATTCTAATTATTAATTATTTTTTTGGTCTGTGTGAGTGCTAACGGTCACTACATATGCCATTTTTCGTATTTTCTAGTCAAAGAATGAAAATCTTATGATTCGAGCTGAGAGTATCGGTGTGGCCCAGCCAAAAGGGTGGATAATTAGTGTTTTTTTTTTGCAATATCTAAGAATATTCGTCAAACACAAATGCGCAGACATTCCAGAGTGTGGAGATGGCTACATATGTGATCAATGTCCGGTACTAGGTGCCACTGTTTAAAATCATATTTTTGATACCAAAGTTTGATTGATAGTATTAACTATTTTGTAGCAAAAGTTGCGGTTTTGTTAATTTAGTTTGATTTCTAACTTTGTTATCTAACATAAATCATAATTTAATAAACATTTCGTAAAATATTTTTTGATTTATTTATAAATAACCTTAGGTGTCCGCCACTAGGGGACTTTGCCCTATCCTATTTTAACCGATTTTGTTCCTGTCTGATTTCTTCATTTTTCTTTTTCTTCTAACTTTTAATTGTAATCAAATCTCAAATCAACAGTTCAAACTCTAATTAATTTCAATCCAACAAATAAAATGACAATTATGACAGGACAAGAACCGAGTATCGCTGACGTGTGAGTTGGGCAAGCTACTGACTGAGCTATTTCCGCCACAATATCGTAGGTTTAAATTTATAATGATTCTAATTTACAAAACAATTTTAACTGAAATAATCCTAATTTTTTACACTTTATTCCAGCAATCAAAATATACAATATTTCAAGACGCTGCACAACCTTCTTCTTTACACATTTTTTTTTCTAATCAACGTTACCAGGTAGTAAAATAACTACCATAATCAACGTTACCATAATATAAAAATATATTAATTATTATGAGGTTGTTTGATCTAGAGTTATGAGCATCTGTGAGGGAATCCAGGATAAAAGTAGCACAGCTAAGGCTACTATGAGCTGCCGTAATAATATACTATGTGATAAATGATACTATATATAGAAATCAAGGGATAAAATCGGTAAAAGACATAAAATTACCATAAATAATCCAGGGTTTGAAGGAAATATTACCGAATAAATGATTAAAGAAAAAGTAATTGATTTATTAAACAATTAGAAATCTTCCCACTGAAGATATTCCTTCAACTTTTTGTACTACTAATTGAAAGAATTGATTTTGTTGAAACTTTCTTTATTTCTTTTTGATCTTTTGATGGTTCTGGTAGAATACAATAATTTAAATCGTAATAATAATAATATACTCTTTGATGATTTTCAATCTATATTTACTATTTTATTTTAATCGGCAATAAAAAAAAACTTGTAACATAGCTGCAACATTTATATAATATAATAAACATTATATAATAAAAGTTATCGTAATCGCCACCCATAGAAGAGTTAACCGATGGGTTGCTTCTCATGGAAAAAAAAACGCTTACAAGTTACAAACAAACAGCATATAGGACAATGTAATTCACAGGGGAAAAAGTTCTGATTGCTGTTGAAACAACAGATTAAAAAAAAATTATGCTCATAACTGTAACGTGTATATTTTTCAGCAAAACTTGAAAATGGTTGCATGTGTTTTTGTCGGTAGAACATTTGACTAAAAAGCGCAAACAAGCCGAAACAACGAAATACAAGCTCTTCAGTCCATTACCCCGTATGAAAACACTAACAATAAGATCGCGCGGGAGTCGATCGTCCCGCTTGCAATTTTCAGAGCGCGACGTCGGCCGCCGCTCATGTCCGTGCGGTCGCAGCCGTGGCAGGGGAATTGACACAGCGGCGCCAAGCCGGCCGTCTCTCGGCGCCCAAGCTGGGGTTGATGTTACAATATTACGTAAGCGTTCGCAGCCACTCCGATGCAAAGCTCGCGGAAAGTACATTAAGAAGCAATCGTGTTTGCGAAGCTCGCTAAAATATTGTACACACCACAATGCGACCATGAAAATATTGCGGTGGCATTGTAGTCAAACAATATATCAAAACATATGTAGTGAAAAACTGACTTACATTTGTAAAGCCACAATTTTCATATTTTTCTCTCCGGATATTTTATCTTGGCATTTCAGTTATTGTCATTGAAATTACACATTGTGACATTTTTAACTTCCCGTAGGGTAAGTTATAGTAATCGCAAAAAAATCGAAAATGAAAATTTTTATATATCTTTACGTTTCAGAGGTTTCTGAATATTTTGGCATACCTTAGAAAAAATGGATGTATGTGTGTGTGTGTGTGTGTGTGTGTGTGTGCGTGTGTGTATGTATGTGCGGATACAAATTTTCGTCGACGATTTCGGGAACACGGATCAACCGATTTGAATAATTCAAAAAACATTCGATTCGTATTGATAAGGAGACGTGCTGATTAGTTTTTGGCGAAGGCAGGTCTAGCCGTTCCGGAGATACGGGGCAAAAAGTGCCGAAAACGGTAACTCAGTTTTTAAGAGAACGGAGCGTCCGATTTTAATAATTCAAAAAACATTTTACTTGTATTGACAAGATGAAGAATTGATCAAATTTTCATAAAGGCAGGTCTAGCGGTTTCGGAGATATAACGAAAAAAGTAAAAAAAAATGCAATTTGGCGGTCAAAAATGATCATTAGACATATGCACATCAAATTTTCAGATATTTTATAGAGATTTTAACAATAAGTATAAATTTTGTTTATTTTCCTATGGGTTCCGTATCAATGTTTACCCGTTAGACAGCGACGCCGCGCTTACGCGCTTTATATTTCGTCTCTATGCAGTTAAAGCAGTACGATTGCTCTGAAAAACAAGTTCAGATCTTCCAAAATATGTCAAAATAAAGAAAACATTAAAAAAAAAAAAATTAAAAAAAAATTTTTTTTTTAAAAATTTTTTTTTTAAAAAATTTTTTTTTTCAAAAAAAAGTAATTTTTTGTCCAATTTATAGTTTCTCAAAAATCTTATTTTTTCGAAGTAAATTTTTTTCAATTTTTCAATTTTAATCGTTTTTAAAAAAAAATAATAATTTTTGGTACGGGAAGTTCCAGCAATTTGCCTTAAGGCACGATGCCCTAATTGCCTTAAGACAGAATTCCACTTACAGCTAGTTAACTATAAAACCATATATAGTTTTCTATTATTACTATATATAGTATTTTTATGTTTTTCCTATCACATGCTTATGTGTAAGACAATGTACTTAATCTAAATAATAAATCTTCAATAAAATCAGAAGTATGGAAAAACTACATGTTAAAT